TACTAAATGCCAAGCTAAAGTTAACACCCTGCCCAATATTATCTTAAGTTCAAACTTTACGTGTGCACACGCGTGCACGCACACACACACACAGGTTGCAATCAAAGACCTTATAATTATAAGGTCTATTTATACAAAAATCATAATCAAGCTATTTTGTGTAGGAGAAAAAGTGCTCCAGCAATGCTTTACCTTCTAACGTGATGGGAACTACAGTGCAATGATCAAAGAAACATTAAATAATTTGTTATTCTAGGTTGATTCCAGACTAGCATGTAGCATAGTTAAGAAATTATCTCTATGACACTTCAAAGTTCTATAAATTTAGATCATTTGCCTGAGAAAGATATGTAACTTTGACTTCTCATTTGGATAGTATAACTTTGATCACTATTTGTGTTAAAACTTCTTAAAAATGTTTTGATGATGACTTCAATAGAAGCTCAACTATAGACACTGTATTTGTGTTATTTGCTTTGCTTTTATTGGAATTGCCTTTAAAGTCAGAGATTGTAATGGTTCTTTATAACCCACATATATTTTGACCTTTACTAATAAAATGAAGTTTTATTAGTAAACTAATAAAATGAAGTTTTCTACAAAATTAAATATTCCTATAATTTGTCAAATGATTACGTAATAGGACTAAAAATTCAGTAGTCCCATAAATATGTCAAATTTAGACAGATAATAAAACATGCAGGTAAAAGTCTGGTTCTTTGCTTTATAAAGTATACATTTTTTAAAGAATTTTAAGTCAATAAATAATTTTATCATTTTTTGAGTGTTTCTAACCTGTTTCTTGGAAAACCAAATCATATCATCGAAAATGTGTGTGTACTCTCTAGTGAAGATGGTACTATTTCCATAGGTATTAAGTCTGTAAAACAGAAAATGCACCAAGTTTTTACTCCATAAACACATTTCTAAGAAAAGATCAGTAAAAAATAAAACTGATTAAGGACTCTATATTCTTTGGGAATGTAAACAGAATTATAACTGTCAGGTGGACAGAAGCACTGACTTCAGCCTTTGGTTTGGTTTTGCTTCTGAGAAACACTACATGAACTACTGAATCATTTCTTTTCAAATCCTTACATTCCCTGCAGCAGTTCAAGTTTCATCAGCAGTGTAGGAATGTATAAAAATGACAGGCAAAGGGCAATCACTTTACTGTTTGTCCCTCCCAGACTGCTTTCCTATAGATGGAATATAGGGTTTTTTTCTCAAAGCACTTAGGCTGAGACTGAGTTAGGTCAATTGCTAAGGGAAAATATAACTGAATTCTCTCTATTGATATTTTAAATGATAATTTTAAGGAAATCAAGTACTATATTATCTTCGAATACAAAACTACAAGGTTAAAATTTAGCTTAATTGTCCATAGTACTTTAATCAGAAGTATTTCCAGTTTTTAGAAAAATGTATTCTCCCTTAACTTAGCACTTTATTTTTTGCACCTGATATAGAGTACCCAGTTTAAAAAGGTCCTGCAAATAAAATATAGCTATTTTCCTTTGATATCATATTTGCTTAAGTAGCTTTTCTTAATTTCCAGTTTCTATAAAAGGAAAACTTCAATTAATAACTACAAGTATATTTAATCGTGATTAAACAAAAGGAGGGTATTATTTGTATTCTGGCTACTTCTCTGGACCTTAGACAGTCACACTTCTCAAAACCTAACACAGTAATTGCTGTAAGTTGACTTAAAAATCTTCTTAAGAATTAGGAATTCTCAGGCAAAAGTTTTAATGCTATTTTAGCTTAGAGTAACCAACAGCATGCTCATCTCAGTCTGGTCATTTCCATCCTCATAAAATGATCCAAATCTACTCTGGTGAAGGTAAAGCCTGTTAGTCCAAAGGCTATGACTGCACACAATCCAAAACAAAAATCAAGTTACAGCCCGAATGCCTTCCTTCCCTTTTCAAGAGTGAATCGTAGCTAGCCTAACACCATAGCTCTGGGCAGAAGCATGCTGATGTTGGCACTGCCTACACCAAACAAACAAGATGTTTAACAGTCAAATAAAATGTCCTGCAGCCTCCCTAATGAATTTGTCAAGGACCATCACATTTCGCTCCCCCCTCCTTTGCCTCATTAACTCAAGTATGATGAGGCGGATTATAACAAGAGAATACAGATCAATCGGTCTGAAGACTTCAAGTGGCTTTTAGCCTCTAGAGTTTCTCTCTCACTTGGTCTCCTTTAATAGAATACGGTATCTCCTGCAGAAGGGCCTGCCACTTCGTTTTAATACGCCATCAAGGAGCTGCTGATGGACTTCTATACTAACATACATAAAAGCAGAGGTGACAGGGGCTCTTCAATTACAGCCTCCTCAGATACCGTCTTCCCCTTCAATTATTCAACCAGAGGAAGAGCGGATCCGCAAACACACGGAAGAAGCTGCTCTCAGAGCAGAGGCAGCTAGGGAGTAGGGGGGCGGGGAGACCTAGCATAGGGAGCATTATTTGCTGGAAGTGTTTAAGTTTATTGTTCAAATGATGTTTCTAATTAGTACTACGGCAATAAATTAAAGTCGCCTTTGTTTAACTGATTTATTATTTACTAGACCATCTACCTTAGACAGGGTAAATTGGTAATGAATTGTTTTTAAGTCAAAACATTTGTAGCATTTTATCATCTCTCGTCTCTGAATGGAAACGTGCGGAGACGCTGCTGGGATAAGGGTTGGACTAAAATTGGTCGAGCCTAGCATCCGAGTTTGGATAAGAGGAGGGGTGGGATACCACCAGGCAGCAAGGAGAGGTGGCTCCCAGCATCAGTTTGGATGAGGAGAGGTGGGGTGCCACCAGGCAGCAAGGAGAGGTGGCTCCCAGGCGCTGCAAGGCCTGCGCTGCCCAGCCCCGGAAAGGACACGCGCAGAGGGTGCCCAGCACCTTTCTAGGACCTGGGCAGGGGCGGCGCCGCGTGGAGCCCCGTCCCCGCGGGGCGGTTTGCGAGCTCCCTGGAGCTTCGAGGGCCAGTCAGTGCCAGCGGCTCACAGAGAAAAGCCACCGAGAAGTAGCCTCTAAGGAAAGCTCCGCACCCTCTAGCCCCGCCATCAGTCTCCGCCCAGTCGCGGCCCGCGCCGAAACCGCCAAGGATTCTCTCCCGGAGGCCCAGACAACTTCCTGCAACAAAGTGCCCCTCCTGCCCACTACTATTTCCCAGAGCACGAGTGTGACCGCCCGCGAAGGCCTCCGCATTCCCAAGCGCACAATTCCCAAGGGCGCCGCAACTCCTCTCGGTTGATCCCTGAGCCCGCGCGCAACGGCGGGACGCAGACTGCTGCCCACAAGAAACCCAAGTCCCGGGAGAAGTTGCCTTCCGAACGGACTCCCCGAGTTTCTCAAATGCCTACTCCCCCTGTTTTTCCTTACAATTGCTGGCCACGGAAAGCCTATCCTAAACAATCAAGCCGACTTGATTTTTTTAAAAGCCAACTAGTTCAGAGAGAGTTTTAGGGGCAACGAAGGCGGGCGAAGGGGTGACTAGGTACCTAGAGGCGCCCTACACATCTAAGAAAGAGAACCCCAGAGACCTAAAGACATCAACTAAACGGGGAAGAAATTAACTTTCCCTATACAATGGATTTCGGGCTCACCTGGTCTGGCTTCAAAGTTGGACTGTGAGGTTCTGCGCAATGAAGTCTTTGCCGAAACGGGGCCACCGATTCTTATTATTTCTATCACATAGCCCAGAGCTCTCAAAGGTAACCCCTAAAATCAAATTAAAATGAATCCTATCGACCGGTGTGTGTTCAAAAATAAAGACTGAATCCAAACACCTTAAATTCAACCGCAAACCTTCAATATTAAAATACTGGCCCGAAATCCTACAATGGTTGCAGCCTGCCAGGAAAATCCATGTACTAAAAGCACATGTGTGAGTTTCACTGAAACGCCATGGCAGGAGAGCCATCTGTGTAATCAATAACAGGGCAGTTATAGATTTCTGCAGCAGTGAAGTCTTTTAAAAGCAAGAGTCAATTATGAAAATAAAATCATTTTCAAGTGAATTCTGTTGTACATGAGAAAACATTCAAAATTAGGTTTACAACATCAACGTTTTTAAGGAAACTTTGATTTAGGTTCACATTTGTTTCCTTTCATTTTATTTAAGCACATTTAATAGCTTATTAAAAGTTACAAGTATATCCTAAACAAATCTGACTGTGTCGAAATGTGCACTTAGAAATGGTTTGCTTCTAGTAACTTGTTAGTTCTGGTGGCAGTATGATACCATAAAACGTATCTGAATCTTAATTATGAAATAGCTATCAAACAAGGGTCTTGGGTAATTTCTACCCTCACCCAGTTCTCCACAGCATATCAAAATTACTGAAAGGAGATTTCTGGGTATAAACCCTCATTCTATATCCACTCCACCCACACCCCACTAGTACACTTATAGGCGGCGTACAGAGGCAACAATGGGAGAGGAGATTAAAGGGGGAGAGGAGTACTTTTCAGGAGAAACCCTTCGTCCCTTTCCCAAGAGTCTTTCCTTCTGCCTTTGCCTTCAAGCTAGAGCCAATTTTGTGAAAAAGACTACACATCTCCTTCCTTACAAGGTTGATAAGACTGCCGGAAGCAAGAGAAAAGGTGCCCTTTCTGAACCACCGCTACTCTCTCTGGTTATTCCAGTCATCTCCAAGAGAGTTTCAGCTATAGACTTTTTCGTTTTCCTCCTTGTATTTGAAAAGCGAGGAGGAGGCTGTGAAATGTGGTCGAGCATTGGGCTTCTACTATCTCCTCCAGCTTTCTTACTTTTCTCGTTGCCCCCTTCCTTTATCAAGTGGAGCGGCGACGGCTACCGTCCGCCGAGCACGCCTGTCTTCTCTCTGGGATTGGCTGGAGCACTGACAGCTCGGATAGCGATTGTAGGAGCTGAAGCTCCTCCTCCCTCATGATGGCCCTGGGACCATTCATAAACTAAATAACTCCAGGAAACGGCAAGGGGGAGTGAAAGAGGGAGAGAGAGATTGAAGGGAAAGAGAGGAGCGACGTCCTCGCAGGGGAGGAGGAAAAGACGGCTCAGAAAGTAGCCTCGGTACAAGCAACCTGCAGGGGAAGAGAAGAAAAACCGGGCCGTCGTCAAAACTACAACCCGATGCAACGCAAGCAACGACTTCGTCACATTACGGTAGATTCTGTGAGGGCCAAAATTATAAATTACGAAGCAGAAATGAGTATCAAACCACTTCCAGAGGTTTGCACCTAGAGAAAGGGAGGCAGCGGCCACAGCAAACGCAGCAACCCCGTCCAGACAACGCCTCCGGGAGGAAAAGAGGAGAGCGGCGACAACACGACACGGCCCCGAGAAGACAGGAGACAGCGGAGCTCGACAAGCAGCCAGAGCTCGAGCACGGGCGCCGCCGGCCACCTGGGACTTGGACTTCGCAGCCCTGGACATTCAGTAGATCCTTCACCTTCCATCTGGGGAGAGTGAGGACGTAGGCGCTCGCCTACCTAGAGGGCAGAAGTCAAACCAGTGAGGCAGAGAAGTTTAAGAATGAGCCTGTGAATGCCTCGCTTTTATTTATAATTTTACTTTGGCACTTAGAAAAAAATCCCATCTCCAGATTTCTGGGCAATCACTTCCACTGAATGCGGCGGGGCGAAGGCAGCTATCTCAGCCGGACCCCTGCTAACCTGAGTTTCTTTTACCTTTCTTCTTTAGAAAAAAAAAATTTCTCCTTCAGGATCTCACTCCGCCATCCTTATTTTACATATCAAGAGAAGGCTAAAAGTCCCAGCAGGCATTTTTCTTTTTCAAAGAGCACCTTTTTCTCTTATTTTCTGGGGAGAAAGTAAAAAGCTTTCAAAAAGACTGGGCCCACAAACAGCGTGGCCGGCGGGTCTCTCCAGGGGGAAAGCGAGCAAGTGGGGTGTCGGGGGAGCGCACCGCCTCTTCTGCAAGCCGCAGGGCCACCACCAGTGCGTGAGCCTTGGATCCCTCAACGTACTGTGAGACGCCGGTGTACAGCCCGGACCTGTGCCCCAACATGATCGCCGCTCAGGCCAAGCTGGTGTACCAGCTCAATAAGTACTACACGGAGCGCTGCCAGGCGCGCAAGGCGGCCATCGCCAAGACCATCCGAGAAGTCTGCAAGGTCGTCTCGGACGTGCTGAAGGAAGTGGAGGTGCAGGAACCCCGCTTCATCAGCTCCCTGAGCGAGATCGACGCCCGCTACGAGGGGCTGGAGGTCATCTCGCCCACCGAATTCGAGGTGGTGCTCTACCTCAACCAGATGGGCGTCTTCAACTTCGTGGACGACGGCTCGCTGCCCGGCTGCGCCGTGCTCAAACTGAGCGATGGACGCAAGCGCAGCATGTCGCTCTGGGTCGAGTTCATCACCGCGTCCGGCTACCTCTCGGCGCGCAAGATCCGCTCGCGCTTCCAGACGCTGGTGGCGCAGGCGGTGGACAAGTGCAGCTACCGGGACGTGGTGAAGATGATCGCCGACACCAGCGAGGTCAAGTTACGCATCCGCGAGCGCTACGTGGTGCAAATCACGCCGGCGTTCAAATGCACCGGGATCTGGCCCCGCAGCGCGGCTCAGTGGCCTATGCCCCACATCCCCTGGCCCGGCCCCAATCGGGTGGCGGAGGTCAAGGCCGAGGGATTCAACTTGCTCTCCAAGGAGTGCTACTCGCTGACAGGCAAGCAGAGCTCCGCCGAGAGCGACGCCTGGGTGCTCCAGTTCGGGGAGGCGGAGAACCGCCTGCTGATGGGCGGCTGCCGAAACAAGTGCCTCTCGGTGCTGAAGACCCTGCGGGACCGCCACCTAGAGCTGCCGGGGCAGCCGCTCAACAACTACCACATGAAGACGCTGCTGCTGTACGAGTGCGAGAAACACCCGCGGGAGACAGACTGGGACGAGGCGTGCCTCGGCGACCGGCTCAATGGCATCCTGCTGCAGCTCATCTCCTGCCTGCAGTGCCGCCGCTGCCCGCACTACTTTCTGCCCAACCTCGACCTCTTCCAGGGCAAGCCCCACTCGGCCCTGGAGAGCGCTGCCAAGCAGACCTGGAGGTTGGCCAGGGAGATTCTCACCAATCCCAAAAGCCTGGACAAACTATAGGATGCCTGGGGCTGCTTCTAAAGCGACACAAGGCCAGCCGCCCTCTCGCAGAAACACACCGCACGCCACGCACGAGCAAACAACGGAAAACTTGGGACACAAACTTTCAGGCGAGTCACCTGGCGGAAACACGAACCAGGCGAGGAGCATCGTTAATTCGGAAAGCAAGCAAAGAGGGCAAACGGACGAAACGAACCCAACTGTTCCACGTTCTTGCACAGAACTAATTGTTTTCTTCCAAACAATGTGAATTTAAAAGGTCACACAAAAGAAGCAATCGGGCTTTGCCACCACAAAATGAAACCCAAGGTACATTTTCAAATCAATGTATAGTAATACTTTCCCTCCTTTTTCCTCCTCTCCTCTGTCCTCTCCTTCCTCTCTCATTTCTTTGCTCTTTCATTTTGTTTTTGGTTGCCTGGATGTTGTCACCAAGTGAAAAAAAAATTATTTAACTATATGTAATATTTCTTGTTTAAAACAGTTTTACTGATGTTAAATGTATCTCAGTGCCAATGTCAGATTGTGCCCTTCCCTCTATTGCACCTCTCCCCTCACCTTAACCAGTCTTGTTGAGAACAGTAATAAAAAAAATTACTTTAACTTTACACGGACTGTTTTGTGGATTGTTCTTACACGAAGGCAGGTGAGATCGCAGTTATAATTTTCAATGAAGAGAGGTGAGGCTTACAAAACTAAATGCAAAAAGCTTCTTTCCAATTTAAAAATTTATGATTTCAAATCTTTCAAAACGGATTTGAAAATGTACAAATACAGTACATGTGTATGTAGATTTGACCATTTCCAATCAAAATCCCTAGAAAAGAGAAAATAATAATTTTATCCAACTATAACGTATTTGCTTTTTGGATTTTAAAGGAATATTCCACACGCACAAAAAGAAAATAGTATGAAAGAAATGACAAATAACCCAGCTTTTGAAATAGAAAATAACAATTATTTTGCATTAAACATTAAGGGATTTGTGTTATGTCACAAGTCTTAAAAATTCAATGTGAGTCTGATCAAGCAAAGAAAATATGTATGGATCTTCTTTTGAATAGCTGCTATTTTTTAAACCACTTGTGCTACTGCGGTTTTTAGCAATAGAAACTTAAAGACAACCACACCGACAAAAGAAATGGTATTCCGGATGATTATGATGATGGTGGAGTTTTAAACTACTCCAGTTTTAAAACCGTTCACCTTTAAATCCCATAGCTATAATCAAGAATTAATTTCAAGAATTTCTCTGAAACAGCTTATGTACATTTCTAAAAAAAAAATGTATCATTTTGATGACCAAAGAGAAATTGCTCTTTCAAGAATTTACAAATAGTCAAAGTGCTTTCCTCTCCCTCTTCAGATTTACAGAGGTGACAATCCAATGCAAATCTTTAACAAAAGTTTCTTTTTAATGCAGGAAAATAGCTGGTTAGAAGCAAGTTAAACAATTAGTAACATTAAGAACATCCCAAATGAACTATTTTATGTCCTTCACATGGAAGGCAACCGTTGAGGCCAATAAGCATGCTCTTACAGAGGCACAGGTACAGAATACTACTATGAGCTTACCTACTCTTCAATGCTCCAAAGTTCTCCTCTGAAATTAGCCCAGCTACTTAACTTACGGAGAAAATCCAATTAATGAGAGGAATAGGAAAAACTGTCCTGAAAAGCAATCTTAAAGATCTGAGGGAAAAGTTTGAATGGGGGAGGGGGCACATGAGAGAGGAGCTGGGGGCTAGCAGGGATGGATGGAAAACAAGGGAGCTCCTTGCTCTGAACCAACCCTATTTCACTAGACAAAACAGGCTTAGACTGCGAGACAACTAACACCCCCTGGTAAGAGAAGTTTTGTGGTTCTATGTAAACTTTGACCTTATCAGTCCTGAGCCATCTCCCCTCTTTCGGCCTATATATATTACATGTATCTATTTTCCAGCTTTCTTCCTGTAGGTGTAGAATAAACTCACCATTATACTAAGTGGTTCAGACAAATATGAGAGTTTTTTCCAAGTAAAAAAAACACATTCACTCTCTGGGGAGAACGTCTTGATTTTTAACAGCATTTTCAAAGCAATCAGTAAGTAGATGCTTACATTACAAAGAAGATGATGTAAGAATGGAGTATTCAGTTAAAAAGATAAAAAGAATACTTTAAAATGATTTCAACTCACAATAGTATTTATAACATTAGACACAAATCTCCCAGCTACTGTTCCAGAAAAAAGTTTTTAAGTCTTCACAATGCTGAAAAGAAAAATAAAATCTCCAAATTCAATATTCTCTTTTCTTATTTAATGCAGGAAAATAGCTGATATTGTCCTGCAAATGAGCAGGTAAGAACACAAAGGGAAAGGAAAAACTACAGCAACACAAACTTACTCATTTACAAAACACATAAACGACTATGGTCTGTGTAAAATAAAAATTATTCTAATAATTGGCTGGATTTTTAAAATGCTAATTAGGTGTGGTGATTTCTGGAATGGTAGGCAAGTTGTAATGGTCCCACACAGCTTTCTTTTATTAGGCTTGAAGACTATTTCACAAGCAACAGGGGGAAAACTCTAATTTAATGATGCTGCACATAAAAGTTATAACTTCACCCAAAGGAACAAATAACTTCAAAGAGCCTAATCTCAAGACTGACAGAGGTTCTCATTTTGAGAACAATTCACATCTTTAAATCAGATTTTAGATTTTAAGCCATGTATACCTAAAAGCATAGTAGAATAATTCTTCATTATCTCAGCCTCTCAAATTCACAAACTACATGAAATGACAGTTTATATAATAATGGAAACCTTCCTTTCATTGAAAAACTAAAATACCTTGTCAGGCACCCATGGAGCAAAGTGGAAACATTTACTAGCTGATGTATGTAAATTCAGAGCCAGTATGAAGTTTCTTCTATAGTGGATTAGAATAATTATTAATCTCAAAACAATAGTCCTACCATAGCCTCCCTGTCACTTAGCTGGTCAAATCCTACCTTAATGAAGGCAAAAATGTTGAAGCAAAATGCTGGAAGCAAGCATACAACATATCTGTTCCCTATGTTTTAAATAAAATTACATCACTTCTTATCAAAAGTGACTTTGAAATACTTTCACAAAATTTAATAACTCACATACAATTACAAAATCAAAGAACCTTCCAGCAATCCAGTGTGTGGTGGGGGAGGGGGGGGCGGGGGGCAGAGGATGTGTGTTAGCTATCAGTCTATAAAAGACATTATTCTGATTTTTTTTCAAATCACTTGTCTTTCTACAGGTTTCTTCCTTTGCTCATTTTTACAAAGACTGTTTCCTTTGTGAATAAAGCTGACTATACACTTTGTTGAACTAAACCTAATTTTGGCTTTATGGTAGCCACAGACATTTCTTAGAAAAAAATAAGTTGCCAAGGTCTGAAAGGTAATCAGAAATACATTTTAAAGGGGAAATTACATTTTCATTTCAGAATAGGAAATTATACAGAGCCTTGTAAAACCCACTGCAGGTAATGGGAAACAGAGGCATCTCACACACACAAAACATGCACGTGTGCACGCATGACAGCGTAGTAAGTCATGGAGACAAAGCCAAGAGAGTGATATATTGGTATTACATCCCCGAAACATAAAGGCTAAGCAAAATAATTCTACTCTCAATCTCAATGAATTTTGTAGCTTAATTCACCATAGACCCTTTGAGGCAAAATATATTTATAAATGATGTTCCCCTGAGGTTTTTCTGTCCCCTTCAAATGAGCTAATGATCAATGAAATTAAGTAGAAATTGTTTTTGAATCTATAATAATAATTTCAATAATCTATCTGATTAGGAATCATCAGCTTAAGGTACTGTTTTTAAGTTACTTTGCATCTGTAAGCAGAAGGCATTCAGCAAGAAATTCAAACTGCCAAATTTTGCCAAGACTAATCTCCCTCAACAGCAGCCCATCATGCCACCTTAAGAGAGAAACTTAAAATAAAACACCCGCCCCATTTCCTCACCTTAGGGTCGATTTTCTTGAAGTTAGGGTCCTCTTCATCTACCTCAAAATAGAGTTCAGAGGAGGTGATAGAAAGAGTGCCCTTTGCTACAGCAGAGGGGGCCACAAGCTGAGCCGGTGTGCTCAAGCTAACAGGGCCTGCCAAAAGGAAAGGACACGTCAAAAAGAGAAAGAAAAAAGAAAGAAAAGGACAAGTCCTAAGCTGGAATGACATTTCTCCCAAACCAAACACAGTCAGCTAGAGATTCTCTCGGTTGTTGTTCCCACTCAACTCCACCTTGCCAACTCCTTCTACACTTACCTACCTAACCCAGACTGCAGAGTCAGGGTGCGCATACTAGATTTAATGACCAGAGTAAACTAGGATTCAATGATTTTGCAGCGTCTGCAAAGCTTTGGTCTTAGTCTCTGGATAAGATGGGGGCTCAGCCTAAATCAGTCCTTCCACATTCCACTTAAAATACATGCCTCAGGCTATCAAACAAAGTGCAACAACCTCCAGGAGCAGGAAGCCTCAATAGGCTCCCAAGGCCAAAGGTTAGCTTAGAGTTTGGCCGAGGCATGACTGCATAAAGATCACTCGCTTATTGGTGATGTGGGAAATATTAAACCCTATTCTCCAATACAGAGATTTGTTGCCAGGCTGATGCCAAAACACTTCTATAATAACTTTATCTCATGAAAGGCCGGTAAAAATACTTCTTTTCTTGGCCTTCTTTTCTACTGTTAAATATTGTTCAATGCTTACAAATCTAATATTAGTGTAGTTCAGGGACTCTGGGAGTAAACAGCTGGAGGGTGGATTTCCAACTGAATGAATTTTTATTGGAATAATCAAATCTCCACAGGGCTTATCAAAGAGACAAATCAGAGTGCTACTGAAAACAATAGACTAAAGATAAATCAGCATAAGGTATATTAGATCTCAATCTAAAATAAGGATGAAAAGAATAACTTGATAACATGTGTTAATATAAAGACAGAGTAAGAATTGAAAACCCCCTGCCAATCTTGTGTTTTGTTCTTTTTTTTTTTTTGGTACGACTCCTATTGAGGAAGAAAATGGCAAAAGAGAAGATTAGCACTCACAGTTATGAATTAATTAATATAGTGCCTATAAACAAATGGCACCTATTCAGGTAATCAATGGGTGAAAACATGTTTCAAAATTCAGATGAATTGACATTTCCATCGATTGCTGGAAGGGTGATGGTCCTTAATCTCACATCCATCTTAATGTGTGCCAGTAGGACAATAGAAAGGATGCTCTGCGGAGATCAGAGCAGGTTTTGCCCTCTATTCCCAATGTACAAATACATTGTGTTTGCAGATGGGCAGCAGATAGCTGCAGAACAGCCGTGATTTCCCAAAGCTCATCCCTATAAATGGATGAAATAAGCAGCTATGTGTTCTTTTGCTGTCTCCCTTTGCCCTCTGTACATTAGCATGTAATCCTGAGAAGAAATAACATTTTTTCAATCACTTTCAGACATTCAATTACAGGGTAAGCAGACAGCTGCATGAGCTAGGGCAGCCTAGGTCCTACAGGAGACCCCTGACAATTTCAACTTCATTTCTAACCCACACCACTTTATTAGTGTGTATTACTTCTTAATCCTATTGCCATTGTCAAGATTATATAATTAAACTCCCCTTTCACCTCCATTACTGTATGAATGCATTACTAGTCACAAGAGTCAAAGCAAACTAGAGGAAGCGGAAATAAAGGGATGGGAAGAAAAAGAAGAGCAATAGCCACCTGACCCTTCACTATCACCCCCAATCCCTTCACGATATCCTACAATTATATTTTACTTTACAGAGAAGTCACCATTTTCGCATGGTATCACAAGTTACAGGTATATAGTCAAATGAATGATGTGTAATGCTTTCCTCTTACATGAGAATTATTCCTGTGGAATATTATATAATTTTTCACCAGGAGAAATCACTGTGGAATCTTTCAGAGTTTCCTCCTTGAGGGACAGAACTATAAACATTAATGGAAAGAAGAAAAAAAAGAGAGAAAAGGAAAGAAAGAAAAGGAGCCATGTAATAGAATGAATGAAATTTCAGGCTAAACAAGAGAATTTTTCCCATAAGGGAAGTAAAACAGAAAATATGCCAAGTGCAAATCAAAATTCCTACATCAAATAAAATAAGTGAATTCAGTGAAGAGCCATAGCATTCTCAGAATTGCCTTTTTGTGTGTGTGTGAAAGGGAAATGTACAAGCTGCAGGTTCACGAAGACATCTAACAAAGCAAATAGTTCATCTGCTTCCAAGCTTTAGTTAACAACTGGCAGAATCTCCAGGTCTATAGTGATCCCACTTTATAGTGAATGGGTAACCCATGGGATGTGTAAGCAATTAAGTCTTGCTGCTGCTGCTCTTAAATACCCTCCTCCCAGTGGAAATTAATCATAAAAAATAATAAAAATAAGTAAATAAAGTGAGAGTAAAAAAGATTGAACCCGTGTTGAAGGTGGGGTGGGGGGATGTTGAAGGTGGGGGGATGTTTGGGAGAACAAAAGCGACCTTTAATTAATGTCATTAAAGTGTAAGGCTTGGAGTGCTAGTGGTCTCAGCTGAAAAAGGAAGTAATTAGATGCTTATTGGGCCAGGGCTAACTGAGAAATCGGCAGCAGCAGGGAGTTTACCAGTAAGATTCTCTAAATCTTTCTCATCCACGGATGACAGAGTATCGTCGTCGGCTTCCAGGACGATCTCGTTTTCTGAGTTCTGATTTCCCAGAGCCTGACTCTTGATGGACTGTTTTCCTTTAGCGAGGATATCTTCATCCGCGGCTGAAATGAAAAGGAAACAAAGCTGTCCATCAGCGCTGGGCAGAGCACTTTGGCGGAGGGCAGGGGGCAGAAGGCAGGGTAGGTGGTAAAGGTGATCAATCATTTATGCACGGAGACTCACCCATGGTGGGGAAAGTGACTGGGATGGCACACATGCAGTTCTGACAAACTTGATTCCCCAAGCCTAGTTTAATGTTACCCTGAACAAGCACCCTAATCCCATTAAACCTGACCCCTTCACCACACACTGAACCATTTATTTACTTATAGTTAAGGTAGGCAGGGGCTTCAAAAGCGGCACTTTTTTTTTTTTTTGAAATTAGGTCGTAGAAGAAATCAAAATCTAGTTTTTGAAAGAATACCCATTGCACATTGAAAAATACGGGTAACGGATTCATTTCTGCAGGTAATATTACCCTGACAAATACTGTGGATAGGGAGGAGAATCAGAGGCACGCTGAGTCAAAGGAGAGGCAGATTCACAGCCAAGGAGCAGGTAAACCCAGATACTAAAGGCGTCAGCGTATGACTCGCATAAAAGCTACAGCAGCTCTCAGAAGCCGCTGTGTTCCTCTCTCCACCATCCTCCCCTCCTTCTTGTATACGACCCTCCCTCATCTCTGTCCCTTCCACCCCCCTTGGCCCTTGTACAAATATCCAAGAGTAAGGCACTGAGGAAAACTGAAGGCTCAAACAGTACCTCCTCCAAGTGTTTAAACTAAAGGGCTAAGGCACCCTGGGGGCAAACATAACAGAAAGACCTGGGTAAGAGGCGCCTGCAAGGGAGTAGCCTGGGAGAACAGCAGCACCAGACTGTGACAAGGCAGAGAGCACCAGACACAAGGGAGAAAGAAAAAGCACACAGACTCTGGGGAGATGCTTTCTGGAGCACCCAGAGCCCACAAGGAGTCCAGAGAAGGGAGCGGATGGGCAGATGGAAGAAGAAAACAATGAACTTCAAAATTCTGACTTCCAAGGCTTACGTCCCTGCAGGGTGACAGGATTTGAGCTGCATCTCAAGAACACACAAACACGGACATGAATTTCTGGATTGTAGGTGTGTGCACATGTATCTTAAATTTACATTTAAAAAGGAAAGTTTAGGATTTTCTTTGCAGTTAGAATACTTCAGAGGTAAAGCACCTGATTCCCTGGGGCGGCAGCAATTGCTGTGGAAATTGGGCGTGAGGCTTTTTGTTTCTGCCTAACCAGAAGGCCCAAACCCCAGAAAAGAGAAAGCAGTAAATGTGCAGTAATACAACTAACATTTAACTCCAGAGTCTATCCGAAATAGTTAAACAGATGGCACAAGTGTTAGCTGGCTAACTTGGCAAAGCAAAGATTCTTTGGATTAAATAGATGGACAATGTTAAAGGTAAAAATGTATTTTTACAGCATTTAGTGTGAATTCACCATGTATGCCATTTGTAAACACTACTCGAACAGCGCATTTTCTGTTAAACAAAAAAGCCAGACAATAAAGCTTACTATATTCAATTTAATATACCCTAAGCCAAAATCATCATCATCTAGTCAATTCCAACCCACAGTGCACCTACAGGACAGAGTAGGTCAGTGCCATAGGGTCTCCATAGCTGCAAATCTCTATGGTAGCAGAATGCTAAATCTTTCTCCCAGAGAGCAGCGGATGGGTTAGAACTGATGACCTTTCAGTTAGCAGTCAGGTGTCTTAACCGCTATGCCATTTGGACTCCTTAGCTTAGGACAATTTTTTACATGAACAAGTAAAATCTTTTTAATTTCTGCATACAATATAGTGCTGTACACATGTAAAATCTCAATACATATTTGAAAAAGATGATTTTAGAGTACATAATGGAAATCCTTTTTTTTCTCAAAAAAAACTCACAACATGAATTAACCACTATTTTTTTAAATAGCTGTATAATTTTTTTAACATTGTTTATATTCCAAGTATTTATATTGCCTTATTCTGAAATCCCATCATGGCCCTGGGCCCAAACAACGCCCTTTCCACAATTAGCTATCAACTTTAAGAAGCATCAATTGCTTGTTGAGAAACACAAATGAAAGTATCATCTTCCAATTGTGCCTATAAATTACAATAAATGATCAATTGCCAGTTAGATTTGAGTGCAGAAATCAATGTTACACTGTCTCGATTCACTGAATTTAAATTTCTTCTTCAAAGAATAATAATAATAGAGCTAATAATAGGGGTAAGAAGGTCTAATATCACATAGCACTCACCAGGCATCAGGGAGTGATCAAAATACACACTTATTTGAAGTCATTTAATTTTTCATAAACACTTTACTAATGCCTAAATTTCCTAAGAGTAGACATGCTCAGAGAGGTTACATAGTGTGGCCAAGGTAATTCCACTAGTGAGAAAGGGAGTCAGCATGTAAACACAGGGAGTATATTGTGAGAAAATGGTTCTTCACCACTATCCTGAGAACAGCCGCTATGCTATGAACATACTAGCCCTTAGCTATCCGCAAGAGGCAAAAATAAAAAATAGCCATTCTATGTATGTGTGCATAGATTTGCTCATTACTTTGCTAATTATATTTCCCACAGTGAATTTTAAGAAGTTAAATCAGAATCATAATAAACACAAAGAATAAAAAGCCTAAATTCAATTCCAAGCCTATATTTGATAAGCATATGCCAAAAAGCGTCAAAAACAACTAACTTCACCACCTTGCAGTTCGCTTTCTCTGATTATTGCCATACATGTCCCGAAGTACCAGGAGAGCTCATTTAGAAAAGAAAAAGACCTTTAATCCACAAACATTTACAAAAAAGAGTATGCCCAGTGGCAATATGCAACGATTTAAAATACCTCAGCAAATATTCACATTCCTTTACAAAACTACCTAACTATAATTTTAAGGTAAAGTCTGCCTAACTTGAATTTGAAAAATTTTAAATATAGTCTCATTATACTGACTCATTAAAATACAATAACTTTTACATTAAATAAAGTTTTATGAAAAAATGTGCAAGTACTTTACGTGCACTGCACATACAAACACTCACTTTAATTTATTTATTTACTTATTTTTACAAGCTCAGATTCTGGAATGGTTCAACTTCAACAGAAAAACCTCTTGTCATGGAAAATATGCAGCTTACTGATATTTAGAATGGTTTTCCTGTAATTAACTCCCCCTTGAGGATTTTAAGTTAGCAGCAGTAAAATTACCAACAGTACTCTAATACACACCACATGCTCTGGGGTTCAATTCTCAGTGGTCTAATAGCTTTCTGCTAAAGAACTTTTTCCCCCTCCTCAAAATTAGAACAAAATTGTCCCAAGCATAAAATAAGAGATAATTATCTAGTTTATACATACTGGGGGGAAAAGGTTTTAACTTTCATCTTGAAACAAATTGTCAGCTCTTTTGATATCTTTTGTGAGTAAATTCTGCAATAGTCTAAAAGTTTATTTGGATGGAGTCAGAATATACTTTGGTTTGATTTTAAAGCTCAATTCAGATAGCTTCTGACCAATAAAACAGTTACTAAAAACGGTAACTATTTACATTTTTCATATTATTTTTAAACAATCTCAAAATTGCTACCCATTTTCCGGTTTACTATTCATTCAAAGTTAATAATTAAGCTGCAACTGTTACATGAATTGTAGAAACTCATCAAAAAACGCTTGCCATGAAAGATGCCATTAATTCACTGAGACTAAGGACAATGAGAGGCTCAAAAAGAGGCCAGTTTTCAAAATGTGCAGTTGAAGCTCTTTGCCTCTGGTTTAGAGGTACCTATGGGCATCAGGTGATGTACCTATCTAACACAAGCTAGGTAAGTGAAATTCAAAAAGAAAAAATCACAGAAAACTTGTTCTACCGACAATACACATTCCCTTCCTATTATTCATTGAGCCAGTGAACTAGAATCATTAATAGTCCATGCTAAAAGGAAAGAAGTTCATAAATTAAGAATTAGGATGGGGGGGGGTAGTGGTGAGCAAACAACGCCATAGACATGGAAACAACTAGGGAACTAAAATCAACAACAAGGAGGATGGAGAGATCCTGTGGGTGTTGGACCAACAGCAATCTAGCTGAGAGGAATTATAAGAGGTGGAAGAAGAGTGAGCGTGACGGTGGGGCAGGAGTAAGGTAAAAGGAAACAGGGATGATCTAGAAAGCAAAGCTATGGGTAGAGGTATAAGCATAGGTGTGTGCATACGTAAATACATTAACTCATAAAAGTAGAGGTACTGGCCTATGTACATATGTCTATATGGCAATGCATTGAGGAAGTGGTGGACTGCTTCAGCCCTACACAGTAACATCTTGTTTTAACAACCTGGCAATCTGTGATGTTCACCCTCTCGGCAAGATTTCTGAAGACAAAATGGGTGCATAAGCAAATGTAGTGAAGAAAGCAGATGATGCCTGGCTATCAAAAGATATAGCATCTGGGGTCTTAAAAGTTTGAAGTTTAACAAGCGGCCATCTAGCAGAGAAGGAACAAGCCCACATGGAAGAAGCACACCTTCCTGTGTGATCATGAGGTGTCGACAGGACCGGGTAACAAGTGTCAGAAGACCCAAAACAAACAAACAACAAACAAAAAACATATTGTTGAGAACGAGGGGGTCGGAGCAGAGACCCAAAACCCATCTGTAGACAATGGGACATCCCCTCACAGAATGGTCACAAGGAAGGGATCAACCCGGGTGCAGTAAAGCATCAATGAAACACACAATATTGCTCTGGTTCCTTGAGACTTCCTCATTCCCCACTATCATGACCCCAGTTCTGCCTTTCACTGTAGGCTAGACAAGAGGATGTGCACAGGTACAGATAAAGAGATAAGAGCTCATGGCACCCAGAATCCAGGAACAGGAATGGGAGTAGTGACAACAGGAGGGTAGGGAGAAGGTGAGGAGCGGAGGGGAAGAAGGGGGAACCAATTGCAAGGATCAACACATAACCAGACACCCGCCCTCCAGGGGGACGAACAGAAACCGTGGGGGAAGGGAGACAGCAGTTGGTGTAAGATATGAAAATAATAATCATTTATCATTTATCAAGAGGTCACAAGGGTGTGGTGGGGCAAAAAGAGGAGCTGATACCAGGGGCTCAATACAAAGTAAATTTGTATTTTAAAGGTTACTAGAAAAATAACAAAGTCCCCCTCAAATGTCCATAAAAGAAATATGGGTAGCATACTAATACATGTACAAAAGAACATTTAATACTCAACTCTTGTTGACACCCTTAATAGTATCAACTCTTGTCCTGGTCCACTGAACCCACCTTTATACCGTCTATGCTATTCCACTGGGTTCCAAGGCAAGAAAACATGCTCCAGAAAGGTGGGTAAAACTAAAACTACAAAGGACAGCGAAGAGAACACAAGGCCGTCCGTCCTCTGTTGGTCATAGGCTTCCCAGAGTTTCAGGTGGCAGCCTAGTATATATGGATTACTCAAACACTACCACCTGGAATTACAGAGGTTAGGAGCAAATGGCACAATTTAGGATCTTTACATGGCCTGCCATCCCTAGAAAACCAGAGGAGTTATTTGTGTTGTTACATGAGCTTATAAGATCCTCTTAAATCTATACCAATCCTTTTCCTATACTTCTATATATTCTTGTATTTCTATAGGAAGAGAATTTAACAGAAACATACACATTCTACACAAAATAAATTGTCTTGCATTCAATAGAATCCTACTACTAGTACCAAGAACTACTTTTAGTTCTTGAATTGAACTGAGTCTTTCTACCACTTCAACCACTTCTTATGTGGCTTTCATTTAAATAGAAAATTACCATTATACTTAACGACAAACCTTAGAAGACAACGTAGACAATGATATGTGAGTCAGCTGGCCTGGGCTTCCGTCCCACATACACAGTAAATTATGCACAGACTCTAGGCCAGTTTCCTTTTCCGAAAATAAGAATGTTCCCTAGAGATCTAACAGGGCCCTCACTGGGTTCCGTGCATTAGGAGAATGGAAGGAATCATTAAAACTGATTTTCAATAATTAAAAAAATTATAATATAGAAAGAAATGTCTTCAAGAAGGAAATAACCATCCTTGGTTTGCTGCTGCTAATTTCCATTCAGAATAATAATTAAGCATAAGAGAGAAGTACTAATTTAAAGGTTAAAATATGACTCTGTTCTGCAAAGTTAAAGAAATCTCCCTTTACAACACGACTTTTATAAATAACCACTTTGGAGGGTCTCTTTTTGAAAAATTACCTAAAGCTCTTTTCCCCAAGCAAGTTAATGTGAACTTGGGAAGGGCAATTAAATTGTCAGAATTAAAAATTTGTTTTTAACTAGAAGGTAGCCAGAAGTAGAGTCATGGGGCTGGTATTGATCGCCTGAACAGAGAACATCACTCTTCAGGTATTTACTCTGCCACCTTTACACCAGAGGCTTTCCTTCAAATCAAATCAATCTATAAAAAAGATGGCTCTTACTACTGTTAAATACATAACTAATCTCCAGCTGAACTTCTATTTGGATGTCTTCTTTTTATTATAATAAGATAGTTTACAATAGTCCAAAAGTCTGCATTTTTAAAAGGCCTTGTCTCCTTACATAAGTCAATAATAAATACAAGTGAGATGAAGTCAAAAAACAATATAACTGGCACATTCCCCTCAGTAATATCTATTTTAAATATCTGAATTCAATAATGAAGTGTAATATCTATGGTGAATTCTTAATTTCAAATACTGTTTTTACCCTATTAACTCTTTTGTTGTGCACACGATTCTAAGTAAGTTTGTCGTGATTACCCTTCTTAATGTTCTAAAATGTACTTATAGCTATTTAGAAATTTACTGCTAATTAGAATTCATTTATTAAAACATTTAAGGTCTTTGCTTAGAGAATATATTACCATAAATTATGCCAACATCAAATACCATAGTACAATCTATGTGTTAGCTCTGAAATGACCTAATATTTCCTTGTTTTATCAAATAAAACATATACAATGTATGATTCATAAAGCATGTACCCTTTTTTCATAAATTTTACATTAAAGATGATATATCTCCTTATTAGGAAGACTACTGAAGCATGATCTACATATTTTAATATATATACATAGATATAATTGTTTTTAACCTTTGAAAAACTTTTTAAATACTAATCAAAGAAATATTTGTATAGACCATTACTAAATTTGATGGAACCACATGAAATGCTTAACTTTGATACAATTCCTCTATTTAAAATGCATAATACGCATAGGTAACTAATTAATCTTATATTAACCCTTCAATTACTATTTAGACTAATTAGAATGAACTCTGCTTCTATATAGGATTTTAAAACTTAAATAACAGTAATTGTAATTAACATCATTTTAATTAATATAATTGCAGACAGTTTGCCTTTAAAATCTGACAATAATTTAAAAGGTAAGGTCAGCAATAATACTGTAATCTGCTCATTAAGAAGAATCCTATAGTTCCCACAAATGATTAAATTATCTATTTTTGATAAATGTATATTTTATTAAGTTCGACATTACATTTACACTACAGATTTTGTGATCACTCCCACATAAAGGATTAATAGTTTGCCTATGTGAGACGTGAGAAAACCAACAGACCCTTTCCAGATGCAAAAGGAAAAATGTTTATGAAAATATTTTTATTGCCTCACAACCACAAATTCAATGTTAAATGATAACTTAGAAAATAAAATTTAATGATTACATTTACATTTCTGGGTGTATATGGTAATTTCTATTCTTACAAGGATAAAATTGCAGAAAGACTGTCTTTTTCAAAGGATCATTAAACAAAAGCAGAAGTGAAGGAAAAAAAAATAAAACCGAAATCTTTGGTATAGAAGCATCACATAACGCGAATATAATGCTAAAAGTACAAGTAGCTTAATTAATTCTACATCTTATTTCTCCTTCTCCACCTCCTGTAGCTGAAGATGCAGGGCCCAGGGACTATTATTGCTTTTAGATCACTTTGTTATTGACTGTTCTCTGTATGGTCATTTATTTTAAAGGACTGATGTCACATTTGGTGTTATATCTGATGACATATTGTGGACATTTTCTCCCAGAAATGGCTCTTTAAGTCTGAGTGCAAGAGGTTAAACTGCCTGACTGAGGCCAAACCTAATATTAAGATTTTAATCTAAATTCTTAATATCCTTATTAAATATGTTTAACATTTATTTTTTTACACTTTATGCTATAACTTAACTACAAACTATGGCATATTAAGCTAAAACCCAGGGGAAAAAAGGGAAATTAAAACTATTTCGTACCTTATTGAAAAATAACCAATTCATACTGTGTAAAACCCACACAACTTTGAAATTGAGAGGGCGTTTTCTTCCCTGCTTAATCAGTGTATCTTAGTTGGCTTTCAAAAAAAATCATAAAACAATAAATTAAAGTCTTCAGATGGAAGAAAGCAGAGTATCAAAACCAAAGGACTAATCAAAACTATTCAGTTTTTCCAATGTGCTTATCAGACTTCTACCCCAAGTGTGGTGTGCATTATATCAAAAAAGGGAAAATGCTTTCTTGAGCTCTGATAACAAGATGATGCAGAACAGGCACATATGAAAATAACATCTATTCTCTTTTTCTGAGAGCCATCTATCACAACCATCTACAAATCAAGGCTCAGAAACTGTCTGGGCACGTGGGCATTTATTACCGTCTCTCCCACTTCATACCCTCACGCTGAAATACCACGGTGGGGAAAAATCATATCTGCATAACAGAGCCTGAGAACCTATTTGGTTTGTAAATGCTGTCTTTCTGGTATTTGTGGATTTAAGACAGTCTTGCTAAAATCATTTTCTCAAAGCTGAATCTGTCACTTAAAAGGAGAAATATTTTTCTTCCTCCTACTTTGAAACAAAGGGTCTGTACAGTTAAGCAAGTTTTGCATATGTAACATAATAAATAAATAAATATATGTGACACCATAGGTTTATAGGACCCTACACTAACTATAAAAATTTTAACTCCTCTTTCTGGGGTGACTAACTATGAAATATGGGGATGGGCCTTTTCACAGTGCCTTGTAATGATGAAGTTATGTTCTTCATTACCAAGTACTGTACCTGCTGCTATTGGCAAGGGGTGGTTTATACACTGACCATGCTCCACGGCTGTTTTGAGTGTCGCTTCAGGATGTGTCGATCCTAGAGGGTTACGCACAAATCGTCGCCGGCGCCGCAAGTCATCTTCCCAGTAGTCAAGGCGCCAGAACTCACGAGGACGACTACAATGAAACAGAGAAGCCACATATGTTAGCAATTATAAAACAGCGTGGTAGCCCTGATTTTCTGCATAAAGCTCTCCTTGTTTGCTCAGCCTTGTCTCCCGCCCCCCCACCTCCCTCTTACTTCTCTCTCCACCTAACACTCCCCGTTCTTGCAATCTTTAACTTAGGTATGTCCTTGAAAATAACAATATCACCTTCGAGTCTAAGGAACTCCTTTCCCTTTTTCTTGGAAGGTGAAATGAGCACTAAATACATCATTTTGAAATGAATTGCTGACAGTGTGATCAGTTTCCCCACACTCTAGTGGCATGTGCTCTGATTCCAGCCTCATTTCAGCCTCAGCAGGGCACCTTTCTCTGTGGCTGCATTTATAAACCAGAATAGGGAAAAGGCTATTATAAATATGGTATTGCATTACCTATATTAATCAAAGTCTGTCCCCCTTCATTTTTCTTCCTAATTTGTGCCTTTTTGCACAAGGTCAGTAAATCATACCCGGAATTCTTGGTCCAGAAAGTGTTAACTTTAATGAATATCTCGGTTACATGGTTATGTATGTGATAATAAAATATTACTCTGTTTAGATGTGTAGGAATTTAATTAAAATAATCTCTTAAAATATTCATTACATTTAGCCCCTGAGGCTTAGAACAACACAAGAAAATGCATTTCTTCTCCATTTACTGTTTTTAAATAAACCATTCCTGTAGAGTGAAATAGCAATCTATTTTCAAGCAAATCAGATTGGATTTCTGTTTTATGTAGTCTGTTTTTATATTTAATTAAAAACTACATGCTATATGATGTGCAATAATTGCTATATCGAAAGCATACTTTTGGAAGCGTATTTTTTTTTTAAAGGGCTCACTCAGTTTAAGTTCTACTATATTTTCCCCAATTATGCAAATCTTTTAGATGGTAATATACAAATGCCAACGCTCTCTTCTGTTAGGTAATCATCATCTAGCATATTTTTAAAATATTTTATATGAGAAATACTAACATGAAGATTTTTTTTCACTTATAGAAAGAAAAAAAATCTCTGAATACTTTTATTCATTAAGTATGTATAAAATGAAAATCCTTAAATCTCAGTAATGAAGTAAACATTTCATTCACAACAAACTTCTATAGGAATGACTAATATAAAATAAAATCTTGTATTTCATGAGCTAATAAAACTATGTCCCTGTCAGCTCTAACAAATTAGTAATTTTGCCGGTCCCCAAATGCCCAAGTTATCTTTATTTTGATGGTTCAAAGGTGGCATATTTAAGATTCAAAATACATTTATAAATAAGTACTTTTATTAATTTTTCAAAATGCTCTCAGCTAGTAAAAGCATAAACAAACAATGTGTGGTTCAAAGCATGTATGTTAAACGCAAGTGGAACCCAATGCTGTTTTCTGAGAGTCCTAGAGAGAAAACAAGAACATCAAGGTTTCCTTTGTTCATCATGTATGAGAAGACGGAATACAATCAAAATAGAAAATAAAATAATGCAAGAATTTCAGTCCTCAAGAAAAAAATTAAAAGCTCTTTTACTCTACTTTTCTCCATCATTTTCCTGCCTGAATTTTAAATCAATACCAGTACTAAGATACCATGTACAAATAGTGAAAATTACCCAGGATTTTCATACAGGCAAAAGACAACAGTCGTCTGCGCTCAATTAATAACATAAAATTCTCCTTGGGTGATTGTTGGAGAGGGAGAGGCGGCCCACAGATGGCTATGTGCATGGCTTTGATAGTCGTGGCGCTTGGATAGGCACTTCATCATTCTGCCTACTACATTTATCTGTTAAAATTATTATCAAATATCAGCCAGGATGCAGTCGTGAATCACAGGCTGCTCCTCGTCTTCAGGGGAATGATACAATGAGGGTCTATTCATCAGTGCTGCAATCGGCACAAGTAATTAGTTCCCTAGACTGAGATCGCCTACAAAGCCTATTTCAGTCAGCACCACAAACATATGATGATGTAAAGCTAATGAAAGCTGCTAAAATTTGTTAACCTTTTCTGCCATCAATCCTTCTAATATTCTGTGCTTTAGTATTATGCAAAGATAGTAAATTATTAATTTGTCATTCATCCATCCTTCTGCATTTTGAGTCAAATTAAATGATGTCATCCTTCTTGATAGCAATTAAAATTATAAGAGATATTAAGCTGCTATGATAAAATTATCACTAAATTAGGTAACAAAAGATTCTTCTTAAGCACAATGGTGAAGTCAAATCTGATGGTTATTAAAGCACGCTCAATTATTTTTCTTTCACAATAAGGAAGCTGGAGAAGTTAGAAAATCATTCGTAAATTATCAAAAAACTAAAACCAATTATCTGTCATATTATAACTAAAATTTGGAGGAAATAAAACTCCAATACTTATTTTCATACTCTGTCACTAACAACTACCATACACAAAAAAGGTGGGGGGGGGGCGCCCCGACAGTCTGATGAAACAGAAACAGCGATTCATCAAGAATTGAGAATTTCTCCACAAAGTGGAAACCATTTTAAGATAAATTTCACTTACTCTAACTATGTTTATCTATCTTCTAATATAAATGTTCTACCAAAACAAAAAGGATATTTAGGAGGTAGTTGAAACATAGAATTTTATATCTCAGCTTAACTTTTACAATGTCATTAAGCAGTATCATGTAGATGATCACCAATTACTAAATAATCTAAAGAAGGATCTCTATGTCACTGTTCCAGGTGTGTATGCCACTGCTCTAGGTCATACAGGCTACAAAGCCAAACCCACTGCCTTCAAAGTCAATTCTGACGCAGAGTGACCCTACAGGACAAAGCAGAACTGGACTCTGGGTTGCCAAGGACGTAAATCTGAATCACAGTAGACTGTCACATTGCTCTTTCAGGGAGTGGCTGACAGGTTCAAACCACTGACCTTGTAGTCAGCAGCAGTCAAGTGCTTAACCACTGCCCTCCCAGGCTTCCACAAAGGCCTCATGGAGACTGCTGATAGTCAAAGAGCTATGCCTCCCATTAGACAAAACATTAGTGTTCAATTTCTGGACAGAAGAGTAGGCATATTCTTTGGAGAAAAAGAATCACATTCAAATGAGGATAATGACATGCAGGTTTAAAGTTAATTACACAGTAATTGACCAGGATTTGAAAAGTTAATGTTCTGTTCCCTTAATTCCACTCCCTACAACAATACATAGTTTCAATAAAGTACAACAAACAATAAAATAATAAAAACAGAGGGGCCCTGGTGGCACAGTAGGTTAAGTGATGGGCAACTAACATGAAGGTTCATGGTTCAAATCCATCAGCTGTCTCATAGGAGAAAAATAAGGCAGTCTGTTTCCATAAAGTTTCACAGTCTTGGAAATCCTATGGATCAGTTCTATATTACCTTATAGGATTGCTTTGAGTTAGAATTGCTCCATGGTAGTGGATTGGGGTTATCGCCTCCCCCACAAAGAGAAAAAAACAAGGGGCATGCTTTCTTATTTTAAAACACTACTAGCAGGCAGTAGGTGTAGGTTTTGATTATCCGCTTCCTTTAAATTTTGATCATTTTCGATCTTGCAAGTCTGGCTAGACCAGAGGAGGTACACTGGTACAGATAGGAACTGAAAATACAGGGAATCCAGGACGGATGAGCCCTATAGGACCAGTGGTCTGAGTGGCAAAACAGGGAGGGTAGAGGGAGAATGGGTAGGAAAGAGGGAACCGATTACATAGAACTGTGTGTGACCTCCTCCCTGGGGGACAGACAACCGAAAAGTGGATGAAGGGAGATGTCGGACAGGGCAAGAAATGACAAAATACCCATTTATAAACTATCAAGGGCTCATGCGGGAGGGGGGAGCGGGGAGGGAAGGGAAAAATGAGGACCTAATGTTGGGGGTTTAAATGGAGAGAAAACGTTTTGAGAAACGATGTACAAAAAAAGATGCCTAACATCAAGCCAACTCAGACAGATGGCCAAGGTTAGGCTGCCATCTTGATTCTAGAGCCCACCCTTCTTGTTACACTTGTGCCTTCCTGTCACATGTATGCCCCTAGTGCCTCCCCTTCCTATTACGTGTATACCCCTAGCTCATCTCCCTACTTTTAGGTGTATTATCTAGTGTACCACCCCTTCCTGTTACCATGCTTACCATGGCCTGTATGCCCGAGATTATATAAATTTGTGAGATTACTTTACTCGCTCTCTCTGTGCAGAGCTGCTGCTGAAGTCATGGCGGTCCCGGAGCGCTCTGCACGCTTTACATAGATCACTCCCCGGAATCTTTCTATTATCCCGCTGAAGTGGGTTCAAGTGTCCTCACCCGAAGCACAGAGGAAGGCAACTTACCCAAGGTCACAACGTACCCAAGGTCACACTCGCTCCGGAGTGCATCTTCTACACCACCGGCTTCCAATGACTGCCGCAGAACAGCTAAGCCTGCAGATGGGAAGCACCTGGGCCCTGGATGACGCCAGTCAGCTGCCACCCTTCACCCCTGGCATGGGGCCAGAATCCGAGTCAGCCCGCAGCTGATTCCTAAGAAGCGTAAGTGAGACACTTCTCAGCTCGCCAGCGTCCTCATCTGACACAGCCGCCCTCCAACTCTCTGCTTTCACTGCTGGCTGGAGACTTCATTGCAACAATCACACAGGACTCACAGACTCACGAAACACATGCAGCGATGCCAAATGCAGGAAGATCACAGGCCGGTGGGTGGGAAGTCTTGTGGATCCAGTGGCGTTGTAATTTTCTCAGTGCTGGCAGGGGTCTCCATGTAGCGTCTCTGGCTCCAGAGGTCTTGTCTTCTCCACAGGTCCGTGGTGGTCTTCGTGCAGCCTCGGTGTCCATAGTCCGCAAGGCCTGCTTGGAATCCGCTCGTTCTCATCTCAAAGATGACTGGCTGGTTGAAGACGCTCTCCACCAATAGGGGCCTCGCTAACAGAACCACCGGCACCCGCCCCCCGTGGGATCAGGTCCACACGTATAAAGGCTAGCCTGTC